AACTGCATTTTAACTAAACATTTTCAGAGATATTTGGACAGTAAATGTATTACAGGAGACACAAATATAACATGCCAGTATATCTAAGTGTAATGACTAGGTCAATAAAAGAACACTATCCTTCCAGATCCATAGTACTCTGAAAAAATGTACAAAAAAAATGTCCTCTTTTTATTGTGCTGGATTATATCTTGTCTTTGATCTTTTGTTAACAACCATGATCATTTTTGTAAACTGTTTTAGTGTAAGATTACCAATCACTCATCTAGCAACCACTTGTAGATGAAAAATTAGGTATTCACTTCATGAAGAGTGAATATATTCAAACATTTGAAGATGATCAAAGGACAATCTAGCTGGAAAAATACAAGAGTTTTTTCTATTTGCTTATGAATTTTACCCAAAAATTCTCTGATGCTTTCCTCTATTTGAAAAATGTGGGGAAAAATATTCTGATCAAATCTAGTGCTCTGGGCAATAATCTGAAAGTTTTCCCCCAAAGTACTGGTGTTTCTCTTGCGTACACGTGGCCCATCAGTACAGTTTTCTGCCCATGTTTTTTTCCTGTGGGGCAGTTGTAAAACTGTAGAGATTTACTTATGCATAAGCAATGTGTACTCGTGAGTAAGGAGCATGAAAGCATCCAGGAAGCATTGAGCCTGCTGTGCAGTTTGTATTTGCATATGGACCAGCTGACTGTAACGAACGCGCACAGTCCCATTCAGGCATTTGACCAGCTGTGGTGCCGGGCTGTCTTGTACGACTGGGAGAAGCTGAGGGGCCATCTCAGCTGAAAGGCTTGGCATCACTGGACTGCAGAGAGTAAAGTTGCGCAGGAACACACGATTTCACTCAAGAGAGCAGAGCATTCTGTTCACGAGTTATGTTCAAGAGCGCTCTGACAGTTCATGAACAAATTATTTATTCAGCAAGCTATAACTGAAGTTTACCAGCTGAAAAGTGGAAACCATCTGGTTTCAATACTGATGTCATTTTAGCAGCGCTGTTCTCAACGGAGCATGAAAGGCTCACAAAATGGTCAGAGATAATAGAGTAACAGGTTAAAATTGATGATGATTTGGAAATGGCCGATGCTATTCAGTATTCTTGTGCTTTAACACTGAATTCTAGGCTTCTGAAAGAAAATAGCTCCTTGTATAATATTAAATTAGATTGGAAAAATGGTAAACTAAAAAAAAAAGACCTGTTTTCAAGGTCTGGGATAGCCAAGGTACCAAGTCCATGGAGAAAAATTATTCAGCATTGGCAAAAGACTAAGCACTGGTTTACAGCTTGTGATGTTTTACAGGACATGCTGCGTGTCCTTGGTCACCTGGAAAAGCAGTGTTTGTATGTACTGTGGTCCAAGGCAGATTATTTTTTTCCTTCTCTGGAACACCTATGTAAGCTTTTCTTTTCTTTATTTATTTATTTCTATAAAAATACCTAGGGAATGAGAGATTGCCATGATAAAATAATGTGGAAGAGATTAGAATTCTTAGCTTTCGTCCTTAACTTATGGCAATTTCTTTCTCATTATCAATTCACTGTAGTCTCTAATTTTCTGAGAAATAGTCACAGATCATAAAGTAACAGGTTAAAATTGCTGACGATTTGCAGATGGTTGTTAGGTCACTGAGTAAAACATGGAAATTAAGTGGCACTGGGGATACTTTCAGAAGTGAGAAACAGTAGGGAACCTTATCCTTTCTTTCTTATTCAGGTATTTTAATAACACAAACACTTCGTTCTCGCCTGAGGTAATCTTTTTTTTATAGCAATGAATGCTTTCACGATTTTACACATATTACCAAACTTACTTTGTTGCCTCTCCTTCCAACAGTTATTACGAATGTTGGACACATAATCCTCTTCCACGCTCTTTTCCACTTTCTGTAATGACACTCCTTTGTATTCATTTCTAAAGTCCTTGTTGACATAATAAACGACACCCAAGTTTTCTGTCTGCATTTTTATGGTCTGCCCTGTACTTCTGCAAAAAAGGAGGGAGGGGGGAGAGAGACTAGATATTTGAATTTTTTTTTTTTTTTTTTTTAGAACACAAATACACTTTTAAAAAATATTGCTATTACAGAAGAACAGCACATCACTGAATTTGCTGTTTCAAGACAAGTAATGAAATGAATGGCTGTATAATCTGCCAGAGGATAAAACTACTACATTTACCTGAACACTAAACTTCTGCTGCTTAAACCCATGATCTTGAAAAAAAAACCAACCCCACTTTAGTAAGACTTCATACTTCTTTAGTCAAATTTCATACTTCATACAAGTTTCATACTTCTTTAGTCAAGTATAAGCTTTGGTAATAGAAAATTACATTCAAACTCAACAGAAAGAAACACAGGTCGCTATTCTGTAGCAACCCAGTACAGACATCTCTATTGTAAAGTGTTTTCTGCCAGCCCTGACAAATCCATTTTCCTGCTGGTATTCTGTGGATTAAAAAGCAAAGATTGCGCACAGACATTTTAGCAGAGAAGCATTTATAAGCATCACAACAGCTTAACTGCAGAAGGGAAAAACATCACACTCAGAAATAAAGAACTCTGAAAAGTAAGAGAGGAGAAAAGAAACCTTTCTGTTGTGGGGCTGAGAGCTCTGCAAGGAACTAAGGACCTTTAAAACAGTTGTGGCAAGTGGGCTAAGGCTACTAGCTAGTTCCATATTTGATTAAAGTTATTTATTTCTCTCAAGGAAAAAAGGCTTATATATCCTACTGTACAAAACAGGTAAGTTTCACTAGTAAATTTTTTTTCAAGAAAACAAAGATAAACTATTTTACCATCACCTAGAATGAAGCAAAGAACAGACAATTTCCCCAGCCACCATCTAGTTAAAAAGTTAAATAAGGACGAGGAAGCTGCTTTCAAGTACTTCACTTGCTACAAGCACAGGTGACCCCTAAAAGAATAATGAGCCTTAGCAGGTTTCAGGATTTGATTGAACATGCTGGAGATGCAAATGCCTTTGCAACATGTTACGTTGCATGGACCCACTGCCTTGTATTAGAAGACCTCCTAAACTCCAAGTATTGCTGACCTCTTTTCTCCCTAATGTCCTCACAGCATGTTCTTAGTACCTGACTTCCAAGTTCTGTTCTGCTTTGTCTATACCTTCCTGCCCCTTCCTCACTGTGGGAAATCAAGGACCAACTAACAGAAGACTCTCTAAAATGCTTCTAAGTGAGAAAGGATGATTACAACATCCTCCCCTCTGTTTTAATCTAATGTAATCAAGCATTACTTACGATCGTGGGTATAAAGCGTAAGGAGGGTTAGATACCATCAACTGGCTCAACAAGGAGACAAGGATCAACACAATAATAGGCATCAGCTGAATGAACATAGAGAAACCTCCCTAAGGAACAAAAGGTATGCAGGTATTTCATAAAACAGCGTCAAGTAAAGAGGTGCATTTGACAAGATTTAATGCTAAGCGTGACTTTCTACTTTAAGCATCAAAAGCTGCTAGGAAAACTGTAACTACAAACCTGCAAACACTGTGGTGTTAACTTCCCAATGCATGCACAATATTCATAGAGCGCTCAAGCTGCAAGAGTGCATAGGTTAGCATGTAGCCACAAGCCATTACCACATGAATAGCTGGATTCAGTTACATCGTACACCATGATTTGGTCTCATTTATACAGTGATATGTAATTATACAGGACTATATATAATTCATATAGATGAATCCTGAGCCTTAAGCAGAATTCCTACCTCAGTCCAAATACATTTTTAAATGTAGACAAGGATAAGTGACCAGAATTAGTGGCATATTTAGGCTAATACTACACCAGTCACGGGTAGGACAGTTACATCAAACAACAGATTTACAAAACCAGGCTATTATCTTCTCAAATTTGCACATCTATTTACCAATCAGTAAGACTGCCACCTGCCAAAGTTTTAAAACGTGTAACTGGCAAGTACAAATCCTCCTCTACAGTAGAGAGCCCCTGTACAGTCACATCACTGAAAGCAACTACCAGCAAATTTCACACTCCACAGTCTGAAGTCAATGGTGCTTAAACATACATCACCCCTCTCTTCCTCCCTCTCATGTCCACTCTGACGGTGCTGATTAGGATGACTGTAGCCAGCACGACCATTAGAAAATGAATGTACACTACCTAAGGAAAGAAATAACCACTTTTAAATAATGTAAAAAAAAACCCCAAAACTATTTAGAGGTCAATACAGAAGCAACAACATAAAGCACTTAACATTACTGCACAATGACACATAAAATAACTCAACTTTATGATATCTTACAATTTCAAAGTTGTTTGAAATAAATATTTTAAGTGCTAAGACAACCGATTCGTTATTTCAGGTACCGCAGAATCACCATAGTAACCCCAAAGAACTGAACTCACATTTTTGGGATTTAACAACATTTAGGGGAAAAATAAACTGTGATGCAGATTAAAGAGTTGGGGTCCGAGGCAGGTTGGAGGAATTTTACCGTTTTATAATGTCACAAACTCTAATGCCACTCTGGGCAGTACCACTGTATCCCGATGATTATATTGATATATACAAATACCTGTTGGAAAGGCCCCTCCAAAAAACATGTTGAATAGATCCTCTGGAGTAATATCTGCCTCACAGCCTCTATGGAAGTTGAATCTACCGTTGCTAGGGTGATTGCATGTTTGCTCTTCGCTGCCTGTAAGGTCATACTGCTTTCGTTTTTCTGGATTACTCAGCACAGCATACGCATTTCCGATTTCTGAAGCAAGGAATAAAAGACAACTCCCATAAATGAAAGGTAATAGTTATTCCAGCATGAAAATTGCAATTTCAAAGTCAAGAACAGGCAGCGAATTACGTCCTTCACTGTATGTTACAAATCAACTATAGTGCAATGAGGTCTAGAAACATCTCTACTTTTCTTAACATAGCTTCCATGAAGTTTCCCACCAATGCTATTCAAAGGCCTTTTATCCTGTTGAGCTGGTCAGAAGGCAGGAGAGCTTTGATCCTTTTTCTAGGGCAACACCTACACCTGTGGAAATGTTCTCTCTCCCTGCAATTACAAAAAAAGCATCAGGCATTACAATGAAAGCTTTGAAGTGGGGTAATTGCAAAGTTCAGTTTGCTCTAGAAGCCTATCTTAAAAACATCACAGACTCAGTAGGTTTTCTTTGTTTTCATTTAGTAACTGGTGACTTCTTCAAATGCATCAACTTTATTGTCTGCGAGAACATGAATGTATTTTTCTACATGCTTCTTAAGATATTTTATGGATTACATTAATAACATGAAGTTTTGCATGACTTCACATGACGAGTACAGCATATGTGCATGACAGGAACACGTGTGTTCCTGAGGTTGTCAATATGACCTCAATGTTTGGAGTGCCTGACCTGGATGCTTGTCCCTGTACACACTACATTATCACAAATGAACAACTTCAATTCTGACAGTAGAAAGGGAAAAACTGAGTTAGGCAAGCATGCCAAGAATCAGTGTGAAAAGACCACAAGCTCTGCTGACTTTACACGCTTTGACCCTAGTTGCTGTGCAGACATACGGCTCTTGCAGACTGAAGGAAAAATTCTGTTGGCACTCGATGAACAACCTTCACTCAGTCGTCATATCTTCATTAAACCCTTTCTGCTTTCCTTTCTTCTCTCCCCTCCAGGCCTCTTCAACAAAAGGCTTCTTTTGCAGCCGGCTGACATAAGGCGCAGGGATTATGTTTTTCAGTGCTGACTGCTGTTGTGACCAGCAGGTCGAGGGAGGTGATTCTGCCCCTCTACTCCGCTCTTGTGAGACCCCACCTGGAGCACTGTGTCCAGCTCTGGGGCCCTCAACATAAGAAGGACATGGACCTGTTGTAGGGAGTCCAGAGGAAGGCCACAAAGGCGACCAGGGGGCTGGAGTGCCTCTCCTATGAAGACAGGCTGAGAGAGTTGGGGTTGTTCAGCCTGGAAAAGAGAAGGCTCTGGAGAGACCTTATAGCGGCCTTCCAGTACCTAAAGGGGCCTTCTAAGAAAGCTGGAGAGGGCCTTTTTACAAGGGCATGTCATGGTCAAGAACAAGGGGTAATGGCTTTAAACTGAGAGGGGGTAGATTTAGATTAGATATAAGCAAGAAATTCTTCACTATGAGGGTGGTGAGGCACTGGAACAGGTTGCCCAGGAGAAGCTGTGGATGCCCCATCCTTAGAGGTGTTCAAGGCCAGGTTGGATGGGACTTTGAGTAACCTGGTCTAGTGGAAGGTGTCCCTGCCCATGGCAGGAGGGGTGGGCTAGACTATCTTTAAGGTCCCTTCCAACCCAAACCATTCTATGATTCTATGAAATGCCATCAGTCATCAAAACTTCGTGAAAGCTGCAACAGTATAACTTCAACACAGGCAAATAAGACTATGGCTTTGCATAATTAAGGTTTTCAGCATTATCCAATCTAAAAAAAAGTTAATGAGTCTTAGCTATGTGCCTTTTAAGATGACCTTAGAAATAATCATTAGCAATTCCTTTAAGTGGAAGGGAAAACCCAAAGAAAGGAACCCTGGTAATTTGCACTGAGAGCATGATATACACTACTGACACCAAATATTGCTACAAGGTTCCTCTGTTACTCAGCACAAGGATAAAATTGGTAGCGACAATTTAGATTTTCCCAACAACTAAGAATTTAGGGAAACATAAATCAGGTGACTGCACATAAAGCAAAGACACCACACTGTCATGGTATGGTCAGCAATCTTTTTCGACTCTTTGTTATTCACTTTTCATTATCTGATGCTAATTCACAACAGATTTGATCAAATACAATTTTCTTTAAATAAAGGGCATAAAAAAAGAAAAAAAACGGCTCAAAAGTTTCAAAGGAACGATTTTTTTAAGAAGTTGGTAAAAGAGATTCCGAGATTAAAAGTGATTGTATTTGCACAAACTTTTTCATCTAAAATATAACCTCAGGGTTGATTAATACAACAGAATAGTAGTACTAGGTAGATCAAAATCTAAATAAGCACCCTAACATCAAACTCAATTCTGTTTTCTAATGTGACCTTTCCTTAAAATAAAGCGTTATTGTGAAATAAGAGCTATTATTATGAAAGTCCTTTTCTCAGCTGGATGTTAGAAACTTTTAAAGGCAAACTAAATCATAAATTTGCTTGGCCATATAAAAAGATTACAATAATTTCAATATGAGAAAAATGCTAGGCTTCATTAAATAATTTTTAGTCAACAAGATTCCCCTACAAAATTTTTTGTTCATTTACTCGTTTAGTTAAGAACCAGAAAGTGAAATTAAGCCGAAGAAATCAAACTTGTACAAAGCGCTGATGTTAAATAAAAGATTAAATAATAAGAAACCGATTTCTTATATTTTAAAGATTATTTAAAATGCTATTAACAAGGAAGAATTATTTTATTCATAGGGCTGGAGACAATTTTATAAGAATAATACCTTTTTTAGATAAAGCCATCACATAGCTGTATTAAAATAATCATTAGCAATCAACTTTCCTGCTATGTTCTAGCTACTTTTCATCTGGGATTGTTAATATATTATTATAATTATCCCTTAAAGTCTGTATCAGAAGTCTTGCTCAGGACTTTCTCCCCTCCCCCCCCCAAATTTCAAATTTTTATCCTATTGATTTTGTCAAATGTCTGCATACAAACCGCACACAGGAAAAAAACCATAAGAGATGTATCACAATCAGACTGTTCATTTATGCACAATTGTTTCCTACAGATTCACATTTTTCTTCATCTGCATCTGAGATGAAGGTGCAGTTTTCTTTAAAAAGCTTTTCCTCAACAGTTTTCCTTGTGCGGGGCTAAATTTGGCATCCTTAGATCAGGTAAAATCAGACCATAAATTTTACCTAAGAAATGGTCAAAGGCAAATATTAATAAGGCCATGTTTGAATCCAAGTGTTTTTGTGTGGAAAAAGTAGTAAAACTACAGACGTACAAGGACTTCTAAGGAAATGGTAATGTAGCGTGGCATGTGATTCAGTAAAAAATGCATTTTGATATCAAGTACTATTTTGGTTTTTTTGAAGCTCAAGTATAGTAAAGATTCAAGATAGTAAGATTCACTTGACTACATTAAGTCAATAGCAGTAAAAAAATGCGATTGCTTTTCACAGATCAAGTATTTGCTCCCTGTATCTGCAAATTATAGTCAATACTCTGAAACCAAACCCTACTGCAAAAGTCCATGTTATTTATCTATGTTTCTAGGTATATGAAGGTCAAATATTTTCTTGGATAAAAATGTCAGTTTGATATTAGCTACTAAACACCACATTGACAATTCTGTAAAAAGGCAAGCGACCAATGCAGATGAATTTCTTTTAATCTGACAAAGTTTAAGCATAAAAGAAATTTTAAGTAAAAAATGGTATTTTACTTTTAAAAGCCTCTGTTGCTCCAGGTGCATGGTTTTTGTCCGGGTGGAATTTCAAAGCAAGTTTTCTATAAGCCTTCTTTAGGTCTTCTTCACCTGCATCCTTTGACACCCCAAGGACTTCATAATAATTTTTACATTTCTTTATACTGCAAAAGAAAACGAAGTAAAATGTTGTAAACAAAAAGAAGTAAAAGTAGTATGTTAGAACATAGCTGCAATTGAGGTAACACATTGCACTGATGCAAAACATCTCTCACTTCCAATATAAAAAATAAAAATAATCCACTCTAGAAACAAAGAATGCCATATTTCATAATAAACTCACTATTGAGCACAATAACCTATTGGACTCAAAATTACTTACTACATACATTTATTTCACTACTCCTACTGTAGAACTACTACAGCTGTAAGAAAAGGTTTCAGTTTGCAATTACTATAGCATTTCCTCATCCCCAATGATATGAATATTGCTGTTAATAAGGCATAAAATGAAGATTTCAAGTTTACTTCACAGAGCTGGCGGATAGGAAGACCTGTTTTGACTGTCAACAGCAAATGCACTTTGGTATGCATGCTATCGAGCAAAACAAACAATACCTCCCTTTCTCCAAACAAAAGTCAAGTCATAACACCATTCGAGCATTCACTTTTCAGGGAAATAAGGCACGTGGGAATACCTCTGCTGCTGGGAATGCACCTGGATCTTAACAAACTTTCTGTAAGCATTTATATAAATTCAAAGAAAAAATAACAGCTCCAGCAATTACAGATTCAGCTCATCTCATACGCTCAATGTAGCATTTTTTAAAACTCTAAAAACTTGGAAATATTCTTCCTGTGGGCAGTCTCACCCAGACGGGAAAAGCAAGATCTGGAAATGATGTAATGATTTGGTATACTTTGCAATACTCCAAAGAGAGAAAGAGCAGTTACAAGGGACAGAGAGAATGTTAATTTTATGTGGGCAGGAAGAACTGACCAAAGCAATGAATCAAACCAGGTTACTTGGGTAAGAATTCAGAAACTTAGAAAAATAAGGCTGAATTGCAAACTTGCATTGCAGAAAGTGAGGCACACTGACATTTGGTGCATATGAAAAGGACTGGTCTGAGCAAGAAATCGAAATTACATCCATAAATATTTTAAAAGCTCCGTGTGACTCTCTTCACATGGCTGTAACTGTGTCCACATTCTCTTAAATGCACAGATTTCTACGTAAATATAGGTTTAGTGTTACAAAGACTATATGCAGGGCAGCCAAGTGGAAAAAAAAGGGGGTAAACAAGCCTTTGGCATTTTCATGAAAGAGGGATGGATACCCTGTAATTAAGGAATGGTAGCATCAGAAGTACAACCACACCGTGTGTGTGGTCCTTCACAGTTCACAGATTGATCAAATCAAATTTCATTTGAGGGATCCCTTTTCCTGTGTTCAAATAACATGAGCTTTTATGGAAGTCTCGGTGTAATGCTCACAAGAGCACTGAATTGAATGTATGCAGGCAGCTGCCAACACGAGCATCCTGTGAAATAAATATAGCTCATTATATTGAAGTCACGTTTAATAAGCTCCAGTTAGGAAGCTGATAAAGCTAACTAAAAAGAATACGGTGAATCCATCATCAAGAAAGAATGGAAAGAAAATACATTATATTATACTCTGAAAACTGGAAACATCTGTTTGTTAATTTGTACAATAATAAAAAATTCTGGTAGTGTACAGATCCCTTCTGCAGGGGGATCTTACCTTAGCCTCAAGACCTGGATTACGTACGAACTGTATCAAGAACAGATAGCTTTATTTAAAAGCATAACAGTATCATATTAAGCTTTTATTTAAAGAAATTGCTATCGCAGCATCCAATCTAACTACTTCTCTTCAATAATTCAGATACTGAATTATCTGTTTGTGGACCAGACTCTTCAGAACTTGGGTTGACATAAAATTAAGTAGTGAGTCATCAATGTTTAGCAAAGTTGTTATTTTATTAGCATTAAAGCTGTAGTGTTAAATGTTTGTTCAACTGTTTTTCAGCACCATGCATCCTCAACAACTTTTTCCCCCAACAACATATGGTCATTTCTCATGGAAGTAACAAACATGAAAAAAAAAAAAAAAATCCATGAAAGTTTACTACTTTGCAGACCTGGTATGCATTCATTTCACAACTCTAGGATGCAGAGAGGAGAAAAACGAAGGGGAAAAAAAACCAAACCCAGAACAACCCAAGAAATGCCAAACTGTTCTTCTAATCCTTAAAAACTCACCCCTGAGTTTTTTCCCCATTCACAACCAGTGAAAGTCCCTCAGTGGGAAACCCTCATGGAAAAAGCAGGAATTTTTTTTTCAGGTATCAGACAGAAGACATTCAGGTCAGCACATGGCCCACCAGCTTCCAACATCACGATCTGCCTAGAGCCAGTGTGTCAAACCAGAGCTACCTCCTGATGAGAAAGTGCAGGGAGAAACCTGCCTTGTGGGTCATACAGCACTTGCCCTCCAAAGGGCAACCGCCCTCCATGCAACAGCTATCCTGAACCTGGTCCACAAATGAGCTATTGTTATTTATTAAGAGCCAAGCATTCAGCCAAAGTATAACACGTTTCTACTTTCTCTTAGCAAGTCTTTGCTAGCAATTGCTTTGTTAAACAAAAAATTCTACAAATACACAAGCATCTCTATTCCAACAGTCCTGATTTTGTATGAAGTTATCATCCAATATTTCAAGCACATCTTCTATCAAATCACCCTCATACCCCTGACCTGTTACCCTAGGCTAAATGGCCAGTCTCAGACAAAGAAGCCTTTACGAATTTGTGACAGCCGCCCCCGACCTTTATTCTCCCTTGCGTGTTCTTGTTCAGGACGGGCATGCTCACAGCGACACTGCCTGCAACAGACCTATAACCAATCCTCCACATCATTTACGTTGCCCTCCTTTCTACTGCACAGGATCAGCGCTGAGATCCATAACCCCTGTTCACTGTGTAGCCTGTTGTCACCTTCAGATCTCAACCAAGCCTGTGCTGGCTCTTACAAACCTCAGCAGCAAATACAAGCTGCAGGTACTCTGTTGGACAGCCTGGGGAGCACGGCCGCATGTGACTTCATGGCGAATCATGTGGAATACGGACATACGTATGGCAGTTTTGCAGAGTTTAGCCAGACTTTGGATTAGGCAGATCAAGCTTTAAAGCTACAACACATTAAATGATTGTACAAAAGCACAGGAGCCAAACTCCATACGTAAGCCCGGAATTCTCAGCAATGACCTTGTGTTGTGAAGCCCTTGCTACACCCTGCCATTAGACAACAGTTTTTTTGCTTTGCCACTTCAAGGCAAAAAGCATCTGGACTGTAAGTAGCTAGCATCTAGTTAATGCAAAGTTTCCTACAGGGAGTTAGTGACTTCTGCCAGGAGGTCCCTTACCGATCACAATTCAGGGCAATCATTACAGGGTAACTGCTCTTTTCCCCTCTCAGCAAAGCCCATGCAAGTTTTGCACTAAAACTTGCACTGCAGCAGCTTTGTACTGGGGATGATGGGACAAGCAAAGATGATTAGAATGTGCTTTCTAATTAAACGAAATTAACAGCGTTTGCGGTGCACTCTTGAGAGGCAAAACTTTAGTGCATCACAAATGCAATCTGGTAAGTCAGCAGGACAAACTGTACAGGATCACCAGGGCAACCCTCCAGACCCTCAGCTCATTCACATGCTGTGCAGTCACCAAACATCAAACCCTGTTGGAGCACACAAGATATCCCTCCTGCACCTTGAAGAGACAGAGATCACGGGCTTTGCACAGAGATTCTCCAAGACTTCAGTCCTCTTCCTCCAAAACTACCATTGTCCTGATGAGAAATTTCTCTCCAGCTGCTGGGAGCTGTTGGAAGCCATGGCCAATCCGATCCTTGTCCCTCAGCAGAAGCAGGCCTTTTGGGGCATATTCCTCACCCTTTGTCTCTCATAGACTGATGTCTGACAACCCTCACTCTGCCAGAATCCCTCCCCTGGAGGACTGAACTGTCCTGTGGAGATTTGTCACGGAAGGGCAGATGGATGGAAGTAATCATCCCCTTCCCACTTGTCTCCTATTGCAGGCCACACAACATTGGCCAGCAGAAGCTGGGAAAAATTAAAACCAGTGGAGGTTTTGGAAAAGACTGATCACTGCTGTTTCTTACGGCTTTTAACTGCATCTGAAACCCCTGTCCTGCAGCACTCTCAGCATGAACAACTAACTTTCTGAAAGCTGCATTTCAAATTGTTGTTTGTTTGGCTTTGCTGCGCTTCAGGCACTGAAGTCCCTAGTGCTAATTTTCTTGCATATGTAAACTCCACACAGATGTTTCTTTTTAAAATTGCAATTTACATATGACTGGCTTATGGACTGCCCCTTTTGTATTTAGTGGGGTTTTTTTGTTGTTTACTTCCAGCTTATTTGAAGTTTGGTGCTTTTGCTGTTAATTTGTTTGGGGTTTTGTTTTTTGTGAATTTCTTGTGTTTTTCATTCCTGGTTGGATCACTTCTGTATCTGAATTACTATAAAATTATTTCTGTTGTTTAGCTGATTTCTGTCCCTGCTGAATCGTTAGTCCCCTGCCGGCACCTTGGCACTGTCCTTCTGGTTAACAGATTTGCTGGCTGTTTTAGGAGAGCACATTGCTGGATGTTCCTGAAATAATATCTGACTTTTAGAGAATAGACTTCTCAAACAGCATGAGGGCAAGCGATGGCCTACATTCATCCACAATCTGTTGACAGAGGTATCTCGTCATGACTTGCAGAGCTCCACCTATCCCAGCTTGCAGTCGACAAGCCACCTGCAGTAGAACTGGTCAGCCAGCTTCAAACTGCAGCGCCAGCCAATTCTGCCTGACACTGAGCTCCTCTCCATGCTCTGATGGCTGAAGGGAAAGGAAGCCCTTCAGGTCCTGAAACATCTGCTCTCACCTGCAGAAATTCTGTGGCTACCACCACTGGTTCTCCTGTGAGTATAAAATGATGCGATCCTAGTGCTGTGCTTCTTGTTTCAAATCTGCAATTCAGATTAGGTCAGCATCAACAGCTTTTATCGGGTTAAGAAAACCTATCAGAGATGTTTGCATTTCTGTATCAAATACCTGCAGTGATCCATA